GGTGGCCAGGAGCCTCCGGCTGGTGTGAGCTGCCCAGGGGCCCTGCCCTGGGGTGCTACAGGTGGCCAGGGCAGGCACAGCCCTGCTGGCTGTTGTCATGTGCCAACATGGTGGCATTAAGCAGGGCCTGAAAGGGGGAACACCTTCGCTCTCCCTTCACCGCTGTGGCTCCCACCAGTTTGGTCCTGGGGGCTGGCTGCAGCGCAGGGCTGACTCTGGGCCCTCTGTACCCTGGCTGAGGTGACAGCACGGACAGCCCCAGCCCTCCCTCAACCCTGTGTGGCCCACAGAGCAGCTCCAGCACGGCGCTGCAGAGCCCCCCTCCCACGGCTCTCTGGTGTCCTACTTCCTCCCCATGCTGTCACCAGTGTGGCTGTGCTCCTCTGCTCTGTGCGCGTGGCTGGTGCGGCGTTCCGTCAGCTCTCCATCCCCCTTTCCAGCACAACTGTGGCACCACCGGAGCATACAGCAATGCAGGCCACAGTGCCTGGACGACTCCTCTTTGCAGTGTTACGGAAAGATACCAAATAATTGATTTCCCTGATGGATACTGGCCGCAGCTCAGGAACAGTCTGTGGCTAAGAAGCCCTCAGCTGTGGCCACGTGTGGGACTGTTCAGAGCAAGGCAGTTGCAACAGGCAGCAGCCGTGGGTCTGTCCCCTGACCGGTCTCGGCGCTGTGCCCTGGGCTTCATGCGATGCTCAGTGCCACAGCTGGAAGGAGTGATGATCCGTCTCTGCTGGCGACGGAGGATTTGCATATATACACAGAGGTGAGCCTGTACAGGGAGGTTGTGTGTGCAGCTGGGTGGTGCGGGTTACAAGCATGCAGGCAGCGATCACGGGACAACAGCTCCTGGGGTAATGTCACTCGCCTGCCGCGTGGCAGCTTGGGTCTGCTGGTGCTCCTGTGGTACGTGGTGGTGCGCGGGCTGGCACAGCCGTCCTGCTCTGTGCGAGTAGGGGAGACCGACAGTGCCACATCAACCGGGAACGGCTGTGGTGCCAGACTTCTGCAGCGGCCCTGCGGAGGGATGCCGGCTGTGGAAGAGGGGGTGAGCCACGGCTTTGAGGCCATCAGGCGGGCAGGGATATGGGTCAGGGCTGGTGAGGTTGGGCTGCTGGTGGAGTGGGGTGGGGTATGGAGCATTTTGGAGCCTTTGACTGGCAGATCGGGGGGCTGCCCACGGGAACGTGCCCAGCGGCTTCACAGCAGGACTGGGGAGGTGGAGTTCCTGGGGTTCATCCCAGCCTCGTGCCAACAGGCCGCATGAGAGTCAACGAGACGGCTCCTCCTGCATCTTACAGGGGTAGAAACTGAAATGGTTTTAGGAGGTCCCCAAACTTGACAGGTAGCAATGAGCTATAAGTGCTCAAACTGGGTGACATTAATTGCTTAGTTACGTTTGTGGCCACGTGCCTTTCCCAAGCAGCCCAACCCAGCCCAAGCCAGCACGTGTGCAGGGAACGGGGGTCAGCTGGCCGGCACCCAGCGGCCTTCGGGCTGTGTCCATTTGGCTCGTGCTCTTTGGGGCTTTACAGAACACCTGGAAAGGGGTTATTTTAGCCAGTTCGAAGCACTGATCTCCGGGGAAGGATCAGTGCCACGGGAAGCGTGGCAGGGAGCCCAGGAACTACATTCTGTTTGTTCAGGGGTGCGTGTGCCCGGTCTGGCACACCAGGTCCTGCACCATGGCCTACAGCACCACTGCCACATCCTCCCAGCTGGCAGCCTCTGTCCTCTGCCCCTCTCCCAGAAGCACTCCAGATGCTTGGGGACACCAGTGGTCATTGGCGGTTTCTGCTGCCCAGTTTCCTCCGCTGACTGTCATCCGACTTGTGCACCCGGAAACACTCCTTCAAGTTCTGGGCTCGGATTTTGGGGTTCAGGATCTCCTCCCCCATAGAACTGGGGAACCAGCCCCTCTCCTGGTCGTGAAGACGCTCCCCAAATATCCAGCCTGAGCAGAGACAGAGACAGGCATAAATGGGGAAGGACTGGCCCTTGCTCCTGCGCTGGGATGGTTGTGCTGGAAAGAGCCTACAGAGCTGGCAGTACTTTCTGGCACCTGCTCAAAGGCCCGTGCTGGAGCAGACCCAGTTTGTAAGTCTAGCCAAGGAGGCCCGCTCACCTGAGCAGTGCTGTGTTGGGACAACTAGCTCGAGAAATGCCAGCAGAAAGCCGGCACTGCTGCCACTGAGTGCCCTCCACTACCCCTGATGCCACAGAAATAGTCCCTGGCAGAGACCAAATGTGACCAAGTCCACCAGCTACAAGCGTGCCCCAGAGACCAGGACCAGGTAGCTGCAAAGCACCGTCAAGGTAAGAACAGCTCTGGGTTACATCTGGGGTGGCTGTCCCAGCCCTGCCACGGCCCATAGCTGGTGCCAGGGCGGCTGTGCCAGCACTGCCACAGCTCAGGGCAGCCTGGATTTGCTGAGTGTTCGGAGGAGGCAGTAACTCCCTCCTGCTGTGAGCTCCCTTGGCTGTGATGCTGATGCCAGGGTCTCTCCCTGACCAGAGGGTCTCTCCTGTTTGCTCAGCAGCCAACCGCCTAGAGCAAAGCCCACCCTTCCATAGGGACGGCCAGCCCCATCCCGTCCCCCATACCGTCGTCTGTCTTGTCCAGGATGTTGAGGACATCAGCTAGCTCTAAGGACAGCTCGTCTGGCTGCTGGGCCACGTACGGGTGGACACACTGGATCTGCGGGCAGTCTGTCAGGGAACAGGGAGAGACTGAGGGCTGGGCTGGAGCCTGCTGCAGGGCAGTACGGCTCGCGCGGGTGTAGCACTGTGAGCTCTGCGAGCGGTCCCTCTGATCAGGTAAGAAACCCCATGGACAATGTCACAGGGACCAGGGGGAGCATCTCTGTGGGGATGGGAGCTGGGTGCACGTCACCTAGTGCCACCCACAAGCAGCTTGGGTGGGAGGGAGAGCACTGGTGCAGCCCAGCCCAGGTTGGAGGGGAGCAAGGTCAGGGCCAGGGACAAGTGGGTAGTGGTGGTGGAGATGTAAGGGGAGCCCAGGGAGAAGGCTCAGTTTGGCAGAGGACTCAGGCCTGGGGTTGGACTGAGATCAGCGTGGAGTAATGTGCCCCAGGGTAGGGATGAAGAGCTCCCATGCTGTGACTCTTACCAACAAGTCTGGATGTAAATGAAACGAATTTGGTTCTCCGGTTCGGGGCCAGCGAAATCATCCAGCGCTTCATTTCACTCCTGAATAGGGGAGACAAACCAAGGCCATGAGCATGAGACAGCTGTAAGGATCCCAGCTCTCCTGCCCAGCCAGCCCTGGGCTCCTCATTCCTCCTCTCACAGCACTCTCCTGCCTGCCTGCCCCACCCCGGACTCACTGGTGATGCTGAGCCTCCCTCTCACACACACTGCTTGGGATGTCATGCATGCCACAGTACCCTGGGAGCTGCCACACAGGCGTGCAGCAAGCCTCAGTCAATAGGAGCATTTTTTTCCTGGAGAAAAGCAGTTAGAGGAACCATTTATTCCTGCAGCTGCTGTGCGGGAACATTTAAAGGGCAGAACTGATGAATTCATTTGCAGATGAACGCTGCGGCATACCAAGGGTACCACTCGCTTGGCAGCAGATGAGACAAGAGACCTGTGCAAACACGTTGCCAGATCCAGCCATACTGTTACGCAAAACCTGGGCCTGCAGCAGGAGGGTGAAGGTTTCGCAGGTGCTGGAGAAGCCCCCCAGGTCTGGTGCTCCCTCGAGGCTTCCCTCAGCCCCACGTGGAAATGGGGCAGTTCATCTTCACAGGCTCCAGCTCCTGCCTGGAGGAGCAGCTGTGCTCCTGGCCCTGAGGGAGCCAGAACTTTCTACCATGTCAGATAGCAGTTTTAAAGCCTGAACTTGACACACATCTAAAACCACCAGAGTGTCTTCTGGGAGGACAGAGGCCTAAAAGGAAGACATGAAGGACAAGTGCTGGCAGGCTGATCTGCAGGGCTGGGAATACCTTGTGCTTCAAGGCTGAAGCACGATGCCAAGGACCAGTGAAAACACCTGCAGCCACAGGTCAAGCTCAGCTCTTCACACCATGAAGATGCACGGGATGAGAGCCCTGTGCACTGAAAGGCTGGTATGTAGAGATCAAACCAAGGGTGTTGCTGTGCTTGTGGCCCAATCTGCAGGCTAGCCTTGCACACAGCTCCTTTGCAGGGCTCTTTGGATCCTGCCCACAGTCCCCCAGGTCCTCTCAGCCTGCGAGGGTCCCACCTGCACTCCGATCCTGCCCCTGCACCCAGCTGTGTCCAAATGTACTGCTAGATCCTGGCAGAGCCCACCCAGGGCATGAGCTGCACGCTGCCACTAAACCGGTCACGATTGCTATATGGGTTCAGAGCCAGGCAATGCTGCAAGAGCTGTGGAACAGATGCAGCAGTCTCTGTTTGACACCCGCTTATCTCTTCTTATTCCTCAGTTTTCCAGTTTGTGCCCCGTACTGCCCCAATCATCCCTGCAGCTCTGGAATGGCAGCCTTCAGCAGTTGCTACCTCACGTTTCAGTGCACAAGACCTGTTGGCAAGCTGTGTGCTGGATCACGTACTCACCGTGGCCATCTAGAGGATGGGACAGGATGCAGAAGCACAGAACTGTAATTGCCTCCCCTGAGCTGAGGCAAACCCTGGCCTGGTTTATGATTTTCTGCACAGCTAAGTCTCACAGACGTCAACGGTGCGTTTGCCCTGCATAACATGACTGACATCTCTATTTTCAGTACAGCAAAGCTGCAGTCGCGTGTCTGGGGAGAAGGTGCAGTTGCTGTGCTGGGGGCTCATCTTGCTGGTGCTGCGCTGCACTAGGGGGGTCAAGGTGCAGCCCCTGGGGGTGCAGCAGGACGTGGTCCCAGGAGGGGCTGGTGTCAGTTGAGGGCTATGGATGTCAAATGCTGGCCTACTGACAGCAAAGTAACATCAAGCCGGGGGTGTGCATCATCTCTTGTAGCTGTTTAACTGGTGGGACGCATATATCTGTAGTAGCATGGACATTGTGCCTGGAAAACGTGGGCCTGGTAAAGCTCGGGTCAGTGAGAAATTCATGCCCTGAGCTCCAAAACAATCCGGTCTGTGTTAGCACAGCTGAATCATTTGCCCAGTTTGAGCTTGTTGGAGTTTGAAGTGAAAAATCAGTGAGCCAAAAAAACCTGTATCCAGGGAGACAAGGAGGCCCTGAGCAGCAGAAGGGCTGTGCAAGATTGGCATCAGCGGCGGAAGGCGCTGAGGAAGAAGTCTCCTCTCTACCTTTCTCTATAAGCAGGAGCCACTTTGCTTCATGGAGCTGGTCAGCAAGTGAGGCAGCTGGGCTGCTGGAGTGTGCACAGTGCGCATCCTACTTGCTTTTACTTTCTGAATAAGCTGTGGGCTGTAAATCAGGCTCCGGGGCTGATTTCTGACCTCTCTGTTCCAGAATGCAAAGTCCATCCTCCACCCCGATGTTATATATACACCGTACAGGAGAGAAACCTGCCTAGTTCACTAGTGCCTTTCAGCAGGCGAGACGAGCGATGCTGGGCAGAGAGGTTTGTAGGGCCAGACCAGCTGCAGCAGCGGGACCTCTGCCTGCCTGACCCTGGTAAGCCCGGAGAGCTGGCCCCCGTGCGGGCAGGGTGCTGCCCAGACGTGGGTGTAGGGAGAGAGTGCTGCCGAGCGCTGGCAGGGTGACTGTTGTACTCACTGGGACGATGCCTTCAGCATGTAGCTGGCCTCCCGGTCATCTGCGTTCTCCAGCAGTCTCAAGATAAAGACGTTGGCCAAACTCTGCCCCTGGTCTTCTAACTCCTCTACCCGAAGAAGCCCCCGGGGAGCAGAGTCAAACACTTGGTACTTGTCCCTGGGAGAGATTAGAGGATCAGGAAAAACTGCAGTTATCCCAGCAGACTTTGGCTTCAGCCACCCAGAACTGTACAGGGGACACAGACCAGGAGCCTCTGCATGGCAGGAGGATAAAAGATGCCCTGCTATGGGAAGGGATGAGCATGTGGCTATGAAAAACCACCGCAAAGCAAGAGACCCTCTCCTTGCTCTGCCTTAGGCATCCCGTATGGCCTGGAACAAGTTACTTGCTCTGAGCTCCCCACGTACAAAACACAGACGGTGCTCCCTCAGAGGGGACTGTGAGGCTTAATTCATTCCTATTTGTAAAATGCCTCTGTGTTTTCTGGATACAGGCTACCACAGAAGCAAAATATTTCCAGGCGTACAGACACTGCGGCGACATGTTTATTAGAAACGTTGGACTAGTGAGATGCTCTCTACTGGTAAGTCTAGTTAATGCTACAAAGAACGCGCTGTTCTCTGGGACCCGTCTGTGCCACTGTATTTCACTAGCATCTAGTTGCACAAGACATAGCCCTAAGCATGATGACATTCTCCTCCTCGTGAGGCAGGTTACACTATGTCAAATATAACTGCTGCCCTCAGGCCTAAATTTATACCCCTCCCTGCTGCTCAGATTTTCTAGCCTGATTTCTTAGAAGTTTAAATGACTAAGTCTGAGCTGTTTTTTCAGGCAGTGATGAGTCAAAAAAAATCACTTCTTGACAGGAAGACAGGCCTCCTGGGTCAGCCCACCAGTTGATGTAGCTCACTGCCACTCTACAGAAACTGGTGGATACACGCTCGTTTACCCTGCTGGGAGACCTGGCCTGGAATCTTTTCAAGTCTTGTTTGCCATAAATTTTCAGCTGGAGAGAGCTGTGCCACCCACGAAGAGTCAACTGCACTCAAAGGCAGTCACCTTGCCTTTAGAGGGAAGTGTACGGGTCAGGCCAGAACGCCCTTCCTGTGCCTAGAGGACAGGATAGGGAACAGCATCACAGCTTGGATAAACCCAGGGGCAAATAGGACTAATGAAGTGCCCCACGTACTACCTGAATCTTGTACTCACCCAGGAATTTGCCGGCAAATTACCAGCAGATCATTGAAAAGGAACAAGTAGATTTCTCTGAAAAGTTTCTTGGTGCGAAGTGTTCGTGATGTCTTCGGACCATTCATTTGCTGCAGTTCCCCTTGCTTCAGTAGCCAGCGAGAGTGAGAGATGATGGGCACAGACTAGAAGTGAGAAGACAAAGATTAGGAGAGCAGCAAAAACCCATGGGCTTACGCAGTCAAGACATTAGAAGCAACAAGAGATGCAAAAGGAAGGGTGGTGAGCTCCCATCACCACAACATGCACTGCAGAGGATGAAGCAGAGCTGCACAGAGGGCACTGTGCTCTGCCATCCACACCGCAGCCTGGCACGGTGTAACAGAGCTCAGGCAGGGATGCAGCAGGGGCCCGAGAACAAACAAACACTTGAGGATGATGATGCTGGAGTACCAAGTGCTGGATTTAAACACCAGGCTATGCCCTGCACAGCCTGATCTGTCCCTGGGAGATCCCATGTCTCATCACCTGGGTTGAGCCTTTCTGGCCAGGGAAACTGACTTTCAAAAACATGTATTTGGATTTTCAGCTACAAAAAAACCCAGGGTAAACGGGTTCTCACTGGTTGGGTCCGTCCCAGCCAGGAGGAGATACTGTTCTCACAGCCACAACAACACTTCTGCTCGAGTTTTACCACGCATTGTGCTGAAAACAAGAAGCCCAACAAAGCACGTCTTACAGGAACACTACGCTTCCAGAGAAATGACTGAAATATTGGAAAATATCTCGGTAACCGCTACTCCTTCCACCTTCGCTCCCTCCGTGTTCGTCACACGTACAGTGGCACAGTCTTTCTTTCCACACTCTTGCACTCTTTTCACCAGCGGAGCCCTGCGTGTGCCAGTGCCCAAGGCACCTGCTCCAGGCAGCCTTGTAGCTAGTGCTGTCCTCTGGGCTGTGGTCCAGTCCTGACACACTAATAAACTGCTCTGGAAAAATCAAGTTCTTGGGTGCCCAGTGTGACTTTCTAAATAAATGGTCTCAAATTTTTTTGCTTCGGTTGTTCAGGTACATAAAAAGGTTGCTGGGAAACTAAATATGCTCCTTAATGTTTGTGAAGCAGAGAGATCTAAGAAGCATCTCCATAGCACTCAAAAAAAGAACTGGCAACTTTGTACTCAGCACTGGAGTTTCATGGCATATATTAAATGAGATCTGGTCAGACACCCCTAAATATTGATTCAGTCGTTCCCTGAATAGAGTCAAAATAGATCATCAGCAGGTAATTAGAGACTGTGCATAATGCATAAACACAGGGATGAATGAAAATGATGGGACAGTCTTCATTTTGGTATTTTACAGCTTTAAAGTGTTTTGCTTTGTAGCTTTCATCTTCCTTTAACGTCATTTGTAATGTAAAATAATAGCTGAAAGCTGACCTGCATTTTGAAGAAAGGTGAGAGGGAAGAGCCAGAACTGAATGCTGGAGGAGGAGCCACGCACTGCACACAGGCAGTTCAATGCCAGCGTGTCACATCTGTGTACACGCACATCACGCTGGCCTCAGTGCTGCCCCTGCCCTCAGCAGCATGTGTGCACGGAGACCACACGCACAGATGCAGTGCCTGCAGCAGCAGCATCCCTGTCCAAGGCTTTGGAGGGGGACTGCGTGGACCAGGCCAACAACGAACACTCACTAAAAGGAGCACAACTAGGTTACTACTGCCACGTATGTGTGCACAACACCCGGATGCCGTTGGTTTGTTGCCTGCAAAGGCTTACCAGCCTATGCTCATACCTTGATCTTGAATTCCAATTTCTTCTGGATGCTGATCATCTGCTCTGTTCGGCTCATCTTCCTGACACCTTCATTACATGCTTTCACCACCTGGGAAAAAGAAAATAAAGATTTGCCTCCACTGGCCTTAAGCAGGTAAGTGATGATGGTCAGCACAGAAAGGCCTGACGGTGACAGGGTAAGTGCCCAGGAATTGACCAAGCCAAGCTCTTCTATCGGCACTGTATTTGCATGAAAGAGAGAAGGGGGGAAAAAAACCCACCAAAACCCCCTAAAAACCGCCCAGGAATTGACCAAGCCAAGCTCTTCTATCGGCACTGTATTTGCATGAAAGAGAGAAGGGGGGGAAAAAACCACCAAAACCCTCTAAAAACCAACCAAAAAACCACCACAAAATCCCAAACACCCAGAAGATATTATAACTGGAAGTTGACTATCAGAGGACATGTTAGATGGCTGCATTCAGTTACTGAACCAGACAGTATGAAGCAATACTCCTGGTTGTACAGCAAAGGGAACAGCTCATTTTCCACATCCTGACACACCACGTATCTCATCTTCTTTGTCCCCAACACTTGAAATGAGGTACATGCGCAGTACCATCTTCAAGAAGAGAACGAAGCCAAAGATCTTCATTTCAAAGATGCAAATGCTGTGGTTCTGCCAAGTAGCACCAGATGCCAAGGCTATGAAATATCCCAGGGAAAAAGACATTCATCGTACACAGCCCAGCTGTGTTCTGAGCACAAACTTTTAACTGAAAAACCTCAACCAACGTGCAGGCACTACCCTGTTACTGAGACCTTAACCTAGATGCCACTGCCTGTTTCATAAGGAGCAACTCTCTTGAGAACTGGCTAGGTAGAAAAATTACGTTGGAGAACAAGCTCCACTTTATGCTTTGTTTCTGCTACTCAAAATCCACCAGAATATCAGTAACTGAAGCCATTATCAGCTCTTACCTCTGAAATAGGATACCTACAGAGAAAATAAGCACCAGATGATGTCTGTTGTGATGCCTGTACCTAGCTGGACATTAGGCATCTAAATTTAAATGCTTGCAGATAAGTAACCATGCAAAGACAGTTAGGAAATTGATCATGTGAGTCACTGACATCTGAATACAAAAAGAACATTTTTCCATCAGCAGTTGTAGTCATCTGCGTACTACAGGAACAGACTTCCTCAAGCTTTTGACCAATGGAAAAACAATTGGCTAACAGATACAGCATGAGAGATTCTGCAAATACTAACTAATGCAGAACATTCTTCATTGCTAAGGTCTTTGTCTTTATCCCTAGCGATCTCCAAAGTATACACTTCGATTGACTAGTTCAGGGCAAATCCAAGAGCCCATTTTGTTCCAGTATTTCAGTCAGAAGCTGCAACCGCATCCTCAGGCTGACGTTCTAGCACAGTTTTTAACTTCAAATGCTTACATTGAACTGCAGGATTCAAGGGATGTTCCAAGCTTCTGATGGAGAAGGGTTCAAAACACTCTGTCCCAGACCATTCAGATATGTAGCCTGGAGGTGGGATTGCCCTGTCTGACCGTGTCAGGAACAGCCCAGATGGAAAACATCCCAATGCCTTCCTGGATTTTTGTACACAGCAATAACTTGCACAGCTGAACACCACATCTACCTACCAGCTTCAGGGAAGAGGGCTAAAAGCAGGCTTGAGTACTTCAGTAAGAAACTGTTATTCTAGGTCAGAGGAAGAAGTGTGCTGTATTGGAGGAAACCTGACACGGTTATACTCTGCTGCCTGTTGCAGCTAATTACATCTCTCAGTGGGATCCATCACCTTCAGGTATCTGCAAAAACAATTTGTGTTCTTGAAGACCCCAAGGGAAAACATTCTCTGCCCTTTCCTACAGTGGAAACATACACATCTGTTGTTAGCAAGGGATTCCTCGTCACTGTCATCTAAGTGCTGCTACATTTGTCCATCTTTGAGAGCAAGGAAGACTTCAGAAAAAAAAGTTACTCTTGAAACATAGTGACAGTATTCAAAGGGACAGCTCCAGGAGCAAATGTAGTTTTTATGCCTTTTTTTTTTTTTGCAGGGGAAAAAATCAGCACAATGGTTTAATCTTGATGGCCTTCAGTTAGCTTATTCAAACTTACTGTTTCCAGTTCTTTATGTGCGTCCAGGGCAGTGGTTTCCCTGTCAGACTTCTCTTCCACTTTCTTCAAAATATTCTGCAGGGGAGGAAAGGTTGTGTTAACTGTGATCCCAATCTGACAGCACTGAAAGGTCTTTGCTAGCCTCCGAGTTATTTCTGGCCATCAGCCTAATTACAGGATAGGTGACAGAGTACAGAGACTCTCACCTCTTAGTTTCTCTTTCTCATTAAAACCTGTTTCTATCTGACCTTATATCTAAAAGAAATATAGCAAGCAGACTCTTATTTTATAAAAATAAATGAATAAATAAAAATAGCTAGAGCTGGCACTAACAGACAGTGTTACTGGTAATCCCAGTGGGATAAGACCACTTGGGACTGAGCTGTGTCCTCATCCCTAGAAGCGTGTCCTCCAGCAGCGTTTAGACAAGCTGGCAAAGCACAGGAGGAAGATGGGTGATGGTCTGGTCCAAGCCACCGTGATGTAGGGTATTATACATGGAGCATTTCCATGTCCTGCAGCTGTTCTGCACTGTGCATGTGTGCGTCAGCATCCTAACCATCAGGCAGGTGGGTTAATGGACTGTTGCTACCCCTTCTAGCAGCTCAACAAAGTTCCTCCTCAACTCTTTTGCTCAGTAAAAGCTATCTGGCAAATTCAACACTAATTTGGGGGTGGTCTCTGAAATCTTTTTTTCCATAGGTGTTGAGAATGTCTAACTCCGTGTAAAGGCTTCATGCAGCTCTAGGGTTGATCGTGGCTGTACCTAAGCCTCATTCACAAAGGGAAATTTCAGGAGTGATCCAGAAGGCCTTTGGGAGACAGAGAAGAGCCAAACTCTACCTGCACCAGCAGTTTGAGCCGAGTGATCCTTTGAAACGGCAGAATTAGGAAGGAAGAAAAGGACAGGCCTTTGCACTTGGGATCCAGTTCCAGCTGTGAGATCACTTCCCGGAAAGCTGGCTTCTCCTGGCTGAGAAAGGAGAGAGACAGAGAGAAGGCGAGGGCTTTGAGTGTTACCCTGCCTGAGACTCTGGTATATGACCGGTGGCCTAAAAGCAGCTTAGTCCCAGAGACAGCATCTGCCTGGCCTCTCCCAATAAAAGAGAAGGCGGGGAGGAGGGGACTGAATGCTTCCAGGTATATTTTAGTTTAAATCTAGAACTATTTATAGTGTTGGGGGAGGGAAAAAATAGGCTTTTAATGTACAAGCCCATGGTAGTGTTCACGTGTTAGCACTTCTAGCTCAGCAGCATACGCTGTGTGCGTAGGTGTGTGTGAATGGGGTGTGTGTCCAAGTAGATGAGTCAGAGGCATAATTATATATTTTTACACAGTTGGAACTCTGTGACAAGGTGAAATTCACACAGCCGTAAGAACAAGACAAGCCACAAAACAGCTCAAGCTTGGCTACTCCTGGCTGCTTAGCCGGAGGATGGAAATCATCTTGCCTGAGAAGGGCACAGGTCATGCCCAGGCCTTCCCTGATGGTGGGTGCAGCAGATGAGGGCATTGCTGGGCCATGGACACAGCTGCACAGAGCAGCGTCACAAGCCCCGGCTGCCACAGTCAAAGAAAACACTTCCTGGCAACGGCGGGGCCCTGAGGAAGACTTCCACTGCTGGAGTCCTGGCTAGCAAAACAGCATGGATGTGAAGGGATTGCTAACTGTGCAAAACCTGTCTTTGCTGTGTGTGACTTGCATCATCCAAGAGAAGCCATTGTAAGCGTTTCTCCCTGCTGCAGCAGGTACTTGTGTGACCCACCAGAGCCACAGCAGAACGGACCTGTGTGCATCTGAGGAACGGCCAAATGGGGAGGAACTGTGACACACCCCAGGCTTCGAGTTCAGCAGAATGCTGCATAATTCTTGTGCTAGCCAGGAGGCTGTGGAAGGGGGTCTGTTCTTTTCAGTTTGGTTTATGCTTTCCCGCAGACAGAAAAAATGCTGCCTTCTAAATTCATATCTAGGAATACCTCTATCTCCAACAGGTGCTTTTCAAGCTCAAGTAATTCAGCCTATTGCTGCTTTGCTTCTGAGTGTTTAGCTAATAGCTCTTGGCAAACCGTTTATATTCTGCAGCTATATTGCTCACCTCTGACTGAAGGAAACCCTGCGGTACCCTCCTTTTGGAGAGAACAGTTGGCCAAGCTCAACAGAGGCCCCTTAAAGTGGTTATTTTTTTGCCTCAAAAGCTGGAGAGCAGAGAAAGGAAAAGATTAGGGCTTGTTACGCTCCCCTGAACCATCTGCTGCTGAAGGGACGGGGGGCGGCGAGGCAGGGGGCAGAATGCAGTGCAGTGTGTGCAATGGGCTGTCCTGAAAGAATCCAGGATGTTCTAACTAAAGAAAAATTAATTCTCCTGCTCAAAGACAAGCTTGTAGGGCACTCTTTGTTTTGAGCTGGTGTAAGAGAATTCCTACCGGACCAAAAGACTTGCTAAACTTGAAAAATACTGCAAAAATATCTGGGATTCTATATCCTCAGGCCTAGGTAACATCTGTGTAATACCAGAATGTGAAGAAAATAGTTTTGGTGGGTTTTGTTTTTTTTCAAGAAAATTTTGTTGTTCTGAAAAAAAAATAAAAATATTCTCAACTTTGGGAAGGTTGAAGATGATTTTGGGAAGGCTGAATGCCTTGCTGAGAAGCTCGGGAAAAGCAGTAGCTGTTCTTGTCATCAGAGATCTATCTGTATCATAGTCTTGGCCTTTCAATCTCTTGCTTCTACTTGCAGTTTAAAAATGCATACATTTCACAAGCGTGTGTCCCCATGTACACCATAAATATTTCCCACAGTTGGGAACTGTTGTCTCTGAACTTACTTGGTATGTTACCTGTTACTATATCACCCCACCCTTACTGTAAAGCCTTTTAATTGTGTTTTCTTTTTATAGGTGCAGTGAAAAATCAGTGAAGTGGGAAAGCCTGTGAGAAATTCATCCCTTTCTCATAAATATCAAAATTACAACTAAATCTGTGGCCTATACAATTTTGCAAAATAATTTAGCATCAAGCATTGGAACTCACAGAAGCTGCTTGTAAGCTCTCTCCTGGTAGGTCTGGTTGGAGACGTAGGTGATGTACACAGAGAAGTGATTAATCGTATGCTGGTAGACAATATCGCATACATCTGAGATCACAATATTCTCCTCCACCCGTTGCTCAAGGTCCAGCAGGAAGCTAGATGAGAAACCCAGTGCTCATATTAATTCTGACATGTCTGTCCCAGGTAATTCCCAGAAGAAGTCCTTGGGGTTCAAAGCAATGAATGTGTCTACAGGCTCTTTGAAAAGACAGTGGGTAACAGACTGCCGCTACTCAGCTCCTCCATCACTCTACAAATGAGGTTAGCTAAAGTGATGCCATTCAGCTGGACAAAAATCCAGCAGCAGTTGTCTTACCGCTCGCTAACAGCCATGACATCCAGGACATTGGAGAAGAGGATATGTGCCTCAGCCTGGTGTAAGATCTTTTTCAGACGTTCGTTCTCCATGAAGTGAGACACCAGCAGATTCAGACTCTTGTAATACGAGGCTTCGGAGGTAACCAGTTCAAACATGGCCTGGAGGAGAATCCCAAAGATGGAAATCAGCAGGTACCTTCTAATTCTATAGAGACACACATGATGTTAATGAGAACATCTGTGCTGCACAGTCATGGACCTTGCACCCACCTTCCAGGCCCAGAGTACAGGGAGAGGTAAGCTAGCAATGGCATTTGCCATGTTACACAGGATAGTGACTTGAAAGGGGACAACTTCCTCCCTCAAGCATCAGCCCTGGCTCCTTCTGTCTCTCTCTTGTTTGACCACATTTCCTTCCACTGAACCTCTCCAGCAGAATCATCTCTTTTTCTCATTATATATAAGCAGTCGGATTTTGTGCACATGCACACATAAGAGCACTTCATGGGCTCCTTCCTTCCTTGTGTCACTCAGTCTTGACCTAACTCCAACCCCCTGCTGATCATAACAGCGCTGGCTTGTTACTCTGCTCATTGTGGCTTACTGTGCTACCCAGGAGGGTCTCCTTGCACTATCTACACTCTTCTTTTAGAAAAGTGTAGGGTCTGGGATGTACAGCACCCAGCACACTGCAGTCCCACTGTGTGACATGTGCTTCTTGGGGTAGAGCTAATACAAATACACAGCTGTGGTGCTCCAAGCCCCTGTGTCTTCCCTGACCCAAAGGAAATACAGCTGTGACTGTCTAAGTGAGGCTCCTGGGTCAACCCTGGCCATACACTTTGCTGACCCAATTCACCAAGGACTAGGACAAGACACAGTAGTCCCTAACTATTACCATAAGTCATAAATAATCTCCAAATTTCAGTCCTTGCCTCTCCTGTTAGAAAACTCTGGAGCAAGACCTGGCTTCCTCAGGCAAAGGCAAAGAAAGGCAAACTAATGGTTTGGTTCAGAGATAAATCATAAGTTAACAAGATGATCACGTAAAACTTTCTGCCCACAGCAGGTGCTGCAGGGACAGTGCCCTATTACCACACAGAGCTCACTCTCCAGGCACACGTTTGTTGTCTTTGTTCAGAGGCAGATAAAAAAGGTGATTATTTACACAACTGCTGAATCTGTTAGTTTAAGATTGACGATTCTCACAAGGGCTTCAACATGGTGAAAAATCATTAGATCCATCAGACATCCCTTGATGAAGGTGTGTCTTGGGCTCCTTTTCCTGGGGCTGGCCCACGCTGCCACTACTGAAAGAGGAACCTTTTGGTAGCTCAGTGAAAGTCTCACTTCATATGGGAAAAATATCTTCCAAATTAGCTGGGGGTCTGTCTCGTGGCTTTGGTTGTTCTTTTTTGTGTTAAATTTTTTTCTTTTTAAAGAAATTATTTGAAACTCTTCACTGATCAGTTTTTGGCCTTTTCCTGGAAATAAAGCTATACATTATAAGAAGAACCTGAGGTACAGAGATCTGGGTTGTATTCCTGACACTGTGCTGCGGTCCAAGATCTGGGAGGATGGGCACAGCAAGGAGGGACTGCTACTCAATCCAGAGCTGCTAAAATATCAGTTGAAGTGATGTTTCACCTCTTTGTGGAGTTGGTAGCCTAGGAAATATTCCCAGTTAAGTCAAACATGTGGTCCTTTCCTGCACCAGAGAAGAAGGTTGTGACTGCGCAATCCCCAGAAGGGAGACAGAGCAAAGTAGAAATGAATGTACTTGGTGTATGTGGAACAGCTGGTGTTTAAGGAATAGGAGGATGTTTTCTTTTTCCAAGGCCGGATTCTCAATGAGAAAAGTAGAGGGAGTATCAGTTTGGTTTCTCCCAACAGCTTCACCAGGGCACCTGGTGAACCTGAGAGAGACCCTATTTCTCTCTCTGCATGACTGGCTAGGTCCTAAATGCACCTCTTACAGCTTTAACTGTACTCTTTAATTTGATAAACAAGAGGAAGAGTGGAAATAGGTAAACATACAACAGAGAATAAGACAGGGTGTGCTGGGACATCCTGTCCCTTCCAGATATCCTGGGGACTGATACCACCAGTCATTTTGCACTGCAGCTTTCCAGACACTCCAAGTCAGGACTTTTCTTCTGCCAGGTTTGATTGCAGGATGGCCATGAGAGCCAAGATCAAGACCTGCCAATTTGTCTGAGGGTTTAAAGGTGGTGGTAACTTGCTTCATCTAGAAGGTTGCTTCCTGATCTGCAGAAGCCCCTCTGCCTGTGTGTGGAGAAACGATTTTGTGCATGTTTGCTATTCACCATAGTGGGGGGTGCTAGACCTGCATAGGCAATGCAGAGTGCAAGCCATACTAAAGAAATAATGAAATCCATAGTGAAAATATCAATGCACAGGGTTCTGATTTAAAGGAGATGCTAAGAAAGTAAAGAACATCTCTACTGATCAGGACAAGCTTCTGGAAGTGTTCACAGTGTGTGTAAGGCACAAGTTTCTTAATTTATTTTGGAGATCCAGCTGGTTCTCTGCAGACCAAAAGTACCTACTCCAAACAGCTGTTTCCCTTTTGAATGGTAAGTATGAGCTGCAAACCTCCTAAACTGCCATCAAACATCCAACCATGCGATGCAATGATATGATGTCTGTGGAATAACTGAACTTTGCTATCTCTAAGCAGTTATAGGGAAAAAAAAAAAAAAAAGCATGAGCTTATTGTCTCAGAATTGCAAAAATAACTAGAAAAAAATTTGAACTAAATGTCAATTGATGTAATACTATCTTCCTGAGTCTACAAATAGTCTGAAGCTATCTCTTGGAAACATGACCAGCACTGTTCCATCAGTCCTCTGGGTCATTAACTTCATGAAATCTCATAGTCACGTAAAAGCTATACTAATTGTTCTAATTGCTTATGTTTTGGCAGAGAGACTGAGAAAGGAAAAGTAAAGCCTAAAGAAGAAGGAAATGTAGAAGATAAAAAAGGAGAAAAATTAAGAGTCACTACAGAGAAAAGTAAGTAATCCTACAAGCTAAACTCCTATTGAGACAATGTGGTATTTTATTGTATAGATTGGAAATATCTGTTCTCAAGGGCCCTGCTTTTCATGTAAACCATCAGGTAAGAAGGGGGAGTTCTGGTCTAGGCTAGGAAGGACGTTGTTCTGATCCGATGCCATGGCACTGGCTGTGACCAGCTCTCAGACCCGGTTGCCTTCACAGGGCCAGTCTGACATCCACCTGCTAGAAGTGCAGGAAGTCCAGCATGAGAGGTCTCTGGAGGTTTGAAATACAAGGTTTGCTCAAAGAAGGAAAGGATGTTAAGTATTTTCTGGACATTTTTGTGAAAATATGGAATAAGAGACAAAGACTGCCTACCTGTCAAATGGTCTACACAGAGACCATGTCACCAGTGTGCACAACCAGGTTCAAGTCCTTCTTTTGCTTGAGCAAAGAATATTTTCAGAGCAGCAGCTCCCTGATCTAAATTCACACCACGACACATGGTGCAGATTAGTCTGTGTCTGCCCCTTTTTCTAACACCAAAGTGACCTGAATCCAAATAATCCCTGGCAAAAACTTTATCAAAGCTCATACATCTCAGCAAAAATGGTTCAGTTCAAAGACTGAGAATACTTTGATAAGCTATTTTTATTAGTAAATTGTTTTGGGCAAGTTCCACTCAGCTCAGAATCTCCTAAAACATAGAAGATGAATATAGTGTAGGAAAATTAATACAGTTAGCAAACAGAAAAGGACAAAATGAATAAACTATACAGTAAATAAACCAAGGACCATCTGAAAGGTGGAGAACTGAACTGGGAAAGAGGAATAAACCGGAGCCACTACACATAAAAGGCCATACCAATATCTAATTTAAGGTTCATGCTGAAAGAAGTTTCACTAATTAAATGTTTCTTCTAATCTCTGGATCACTACCTCTTCAGAGCCTAGTACCTTGGTGATAGAATTTGTTTTAACCGAAATCACATGTAATACAGGGACTGTGTTTTCTCTTTAGTCACTTGTTCTTCCTGCTACATACATGTTGCCTGTCATTTCCTCCACATTGACTCCATGTCAGAACCAAAACAGCATTTCTTCTGGCTTGTTCTTCTTGCATCATTACAGTTTCTAGATAGTTAAAAGAAAGCCCTTGGTGATTCATGTTTTGCTGTGTTTGATGCTCAACAGATGTCCAGATAATTAAAACTACCCTATCAATGACTTAGTCATTTCTGCTAATTATTCCAGTAGCACATAATTTTCGTATTTCCTGACCTCTGTGGTCTGTAACATGTCTTTTGCTTTTTATTTTGTTCTTCCTTTTTCTGCATTTGCACCCACATTTTTTGTGACGCTTCCAGTTGTTGTTTTACATCTTGCTACTCTCATGTTTGCTTCAGATGAAAGACTGGTGTGACAGAAGCCATTGCTGTCTGAATTCTGTTTGAGTTCCCAGGGCTAATGGGCCATGCTGCAACTTTTTTTATTTTTCTGAAATTGCTGGGGGGGTGGATGCATTTTTTTTTGTTTTGTGTGGGTTTTTTTTTCCTTCCTGAAACTCCATTTTCTAGTTCATTTTCTTCCCAATGGGAACAATGACAAATTGCCTTTCGTGACATTTTTCAAACATCCATTGCTCTTCCAGTCAACTTTCTTGTTTTGATGTTTGAAAAACACCTGTGTCTTATTTTTATCTTGTATTGATAACCTGCTTAGACATTTTTCCATCATTACCAATAACAAAGACCAGATTCTTCCTCTTGTTCTTGTTTCTTCCATTTTGCAGATTACTGCAAATGAGCAACTTTTTCTCTGTTTAAGCCCTGCTATGGTGGTGTTCCCTTCCTTACCTGTGAACAGCGGTGTTTGCTTCAACTTTCTGTTTGTGTACTCATATTCCTCCCTGTGGTCTAAAGAATACTCTTGTTCTGCCCTTCCTGGCGGAAGAGCTGCAAGCTCTTCTAGTTCCTGTGTTTACCACAGCTTTGAAGATAAAATAGGTCAGAAAAGTATGATTTAGTCCTTAAGTCGTTTACTCCAGAATTTCTGCTGCCCTGTACTTCAGGTAAATTCCTCCAATTCTCCTTCGTGAAGCTGAACGCTTTACATTCACTTAATCAAGCCCTCATGTACAGCTCACGCTCCCAATTCATATCAAATGTGAGTACAGTTCCAGCACTGCAGGAGCAAGCAGTGCTTGCTTACAGCAAGGCTGAATTCAACATCATCTTTTTAATTGCCTTGGTGTTTTCTCCAGTTCTTGTTTTCTGTCCTTGACTCTCCTCACAAAGCAAATTCTCTACTTTATCTATTCAATGTTCAGCCAATTTCACAGCTTTCTGGCTTTGAGCAATTTTATAATCTCTTACTGTGCTAATCCCAGAACAAACAGGAAGAAAATTTCAGCTCTGATAAACTAACATCAGGGGGAAGCACAACACTTTTTTAAGGCAGCACTGTCCCATCTCCATCTGCTTTATTTCTCTCGTTATTTAAGCAAGGAGAAGAAAATTCAGCACACTTAATGTTGGGGTTTAGCAGCACAGACTTTTTTTTTTCCTTCAAACACCTACAGGTAATGAACGTAACTCAACAGAAATGGCAGGTTTGGAAATCTATAATGCAAACTTTTAAGCGAATGTTTCTCTGTAAAAGACTCTTCATTTTGAGGCAGAAAGAAAAAGAAAATTTTTCAGATGCCAGATTGTGTTTGTAATGCTGGCAGTTAGAAGTACCGTGTTTTGCCAGGTAAACAGAACAAATCTGATATGGAAATAACCAGTGCAGAAGATGAACATGGAAAAGCAACAAATCGTTTTAGTCACCTTCAGCCATAACCCTGCCACACTTAGGCTTGCCAGCCCAAGCTACCCTGTATAAACACTGGTCCCTTCCACTAATGAGTGTAAGTAGCACAGCCCTGCAGCTCACAAGATGAGCCTTTCCGATCTAACAGTGAAGATACAGCCTCGGCCAGGACTGGGGGAGACACCAGGGATTCATAAATGTTGATTGTGCAAATCCAAGTAAACTTAGGGGGAACTGCTCACACCCTGAGATGTTCTTCAGCACTTTGGGTACAATCTCATGAGCCAGGGCTGAACAGATACGCTGCCACAACAGTCTCACCAGAAGCAATCCTGGCACAGGAGTACAGTAGGACTCGGAGGATCGAGCCCTTGAAGGCCCATTGCTCATATTACAACATACACGACACACTAAAAACTGCTTGTTCTTCTCCACTGCTGGCTACAAATGCAGTGCTATGCATTGACAAAGAGCCTTCATGCTCCTTGTGCTATCCAAAATAGCAACTAGTTGTAAATTGTTGTGTGATGTTTTCCTTATTTGCGGTGGTTACCTCCATCTACTCTTTTCACCATTTGATGCAGCCCTACAAATTAACAGCGTATGACTCTTAAACAGTGATGTCACTGAACTGTATGGCTAAAATGCAAATATATCTGTCATTTTTTTACGTTTTGCATAAGACTCCAAGTAACGCCATTTACAAATACATTTACAATCTCCATCTCTTCCTTTTCTATTAATGCCATCATATTTAAAACAGTTAACAGTTGAATTCCTCTAAGATTTCTAGTGGAAAGCATATATCCTGCTATTAACTTCAGAAGGGGATTAATGTGCACTGGGAACCAAAAGCTCTATTGTAGGAGCCTTTTCATTATCCCTCCCTTCCTTTGTGAATTGCTCCTCACACTGAATCAGAAAAGGAAAAAGACGTTATTTTTTGCCACAGAAATGTCCAGCAGCAAAAGCATATAGAACAACACCTCTAGTTTCAAAAAAAGAGTGGTGCTAACCAGTGCAACACAGAAAAGTACTCAGCAGGGCAAGGCTTGTCTGTGACAAGATTTTTAAATCTCAATCATTTAACTTAATTCGCTCTCACTCTTTGAAGCAGCAAGCCAGTTAAGAGACACTCCACCTTCCCCCATTACCTCCTGCAGCTTGATCTCATCTGGCTGGAGGATGCTGAGGACCCCACTGCTCTGGATCTCAGGAAGATCCTGCCATAAGTTGAACCTGGAGTTGGAGTTCCTCAGCAAACTGATCTGTGGTGGAGCTTTGTTTTCAGTTGTACTTGTAGGTTCTGCTTCAGATGGGGTTTCCTCACTGGGTGAACTCTCCTCAGGGTCTGTCTGTGAATCCTGTAGTCGTCTGGTTTCAATCTCCTGGCGTGTCGACTTATCTCGATATTCCTGATATAAGAGCCCTAGGAGGCAACATTAACAGGTCTGAGAGGTTACAGCTGCACAAAAGACTAGAAATGTATTGTGGGAAAGGGTATTTTTTTACATTAGTTCACCTCAGCAGAGGTGAGAGAGATCCCTTCCTTGCTGAGCGAAAAAGCCAATTACAGCATTCCTATTTCAGCCAGAAGTGGAAACTATAAATGGAAGGCCATTTCTAAATCTAAAGTGTTGTCAACAATCTGCTCTCACAAAACATTTAGTAACAGTCAGATGAATCCATGATGAATCGGAAGACATAAAAGAAGTGGTTTATTTGCCAGGCATTTAAATGTTTCTCTTAAACCTTGATTTTTCTCTGCAATATTATTATGTTACAAGTTATATAGATTGATAGGTATGCATAAGCGTGTGTCTGGAAAAGTAATACTGCATACATTTAAACTACTTTAAAGGAGCAATTTGATGGCCATGAAAAATCCTTAAGGAGAAAACACTGAGCTGCTGTTAAGGCATTGGACAGGTGATGCATTGGGACAAGAAGTTATGGTTACTAGTTTGTTTTGGTATTGACTTCATGGTTAGCCTTGGACATGTTGCTTAATTTCTTTCTGTTTTTCTTCTCAGTTTCTGTGATGATTGGAGATACAAAATTAACATTCAAAAGGTACCTGAATGCCACAGCACTAAAGAAGAGGTTCCGAATTCAGACCATCTTGCGCCATGTCAATCACATGAGGTGTCTTCTGAGGTTCAATGACTAACTTCAGGAGCAGACAAAATTGCACAGAATTTGCCCCCACCCCTGACTTCAACTGACAGCACAAAAAAGGTAGGAATCCTGAAATTCCTTGGCCATCTTTAGAAGATCCTTTGTTTCTCGTAGGGCTTTCTAACTGTCCCATTTCTCTGAGCCATCTGTAGGACCCAGAATATTAATTGCTTGAATATAAAATGTAATTTAGAAGATATGAAAAGACAAGAGAGCATGAGCCTGCTCTGATTCACTCTCCTCACTCAAATCGAAGGAGCGCAATTTACATTATCTCCCTTGGTTTATACTTGAATTGCAAAGTGTAACATGAATAAATACAGAGAAAAGTCCTTGATGTTAAAAACCCCACCTATTTTGTCTGAATCATTAGGGGTTAAAATCTATCTGGTCACATGGATTCGTGATATTGGATCTCAGAAGCTGATTCCATGTGTAATAAGGTGAGAGACAACTGGGTCAGGAGTTTGTCTAGGGAGGGCAGAAACGTAGATGTTACTGCCTATTAAATCTCTGGGCTAGTTTTTACGAGGCTCTGTACCAGTCACTGTTAAACTGTATCAGAAATATGCTGAGGAAAAGCACAGGCACAAGGATGGCATTACCACAGTTTGCGAGTGTATCCTGTTATCTGTTCTCTCTGGAAAGATGTTCCAATACTGGATTAAAATAGCAAGAAGGGTAGCTGTGCCTAGGAAACTGTACAGTCTTCTGTTAGCTTCCTACACGATAACCAAAGAGAGGAGACTTCCCTTGAAGTTTTGCATGCTGCTGCTACTTACATAATTTCTCTCTGCGTCAACTAGGCTTATACGGCTTTCCTAAGCATTTCTGCCTGTTATTCGGCATCAGCGAGGGTGATGAGGATGTAGTGGGGTGGAAAGGCTCCTTCAGGAATGGAGCGGAGAGTGTGCTAAATCGGAGCCGCTTTCAGTGGTACTGATCTGTAAGCTCAGCCTGTGCTTGAAGGCTCTGGTGCGGTAGGGCACTGGGTACTTTGTGCCCCACCGAACTGCGCACCACAGAGTAGGACAGGCTGGGAAGTAACACCCTGCAGCAGTATGGGCAGTGCTTGAATCGAGGGGAAACATGCTGGGAAACTGAAGCATAATCTATTTTACTCATATAGGAGATAATTATACTTGAAGTGTCTGATTGTACAGCCATGTTGTGCTGGTGGGTCTGCCCTGCAAGTCAGAGGCAATTAAGGATATTTTGTGTAAGGGGGATTTAGTATTCCTTCTGCAGATCTGGAGAACAGCCCTTTAAAAAAGATCCTCAAGACAAATTTCCTCCTTGCTTTTAAGGAAATAAAATCCAGACAATGAAACTTGATTTTGTTTCGAGGTTCCCTGTCTGGCCAACCAAACAGATAAGACCTACGGAGCCTTCAGTGGCAGGCAAAGGCAAATACAGACACGGGGAGAGATCTGATTGACTAAAGGCATCTACCAGCAGAACTTGTTCGGAAATGACAGCAAGGTAACTCATTTTAAGGAGGGAGCTGAAGTGAGACTGGCTGAAGCTCTACCACAGACAGCAATACGGGGAGGAAGCAGAAAGGTGATACCAGAAGACAGAAAAAAGACAGGTAGATGTTGAGGCAGAAGATGGGTAGGAAGAAAGAGAGGGTAGTGCTAGCAAGGATAAAAGATTTTCTCGCTATCTTGGTGTAAGAGGTCCATCCGTATTTTGGAAAAGAGGTTACAATGGGTAGAGCAAAGGCTTAGATGAGGGAGAGAAGCCATGCAAAAGCCTACTCCAGATGAAGCAGGAGATGGTCACAGCACAGGATGGGTGGCATAACAGATGCAAGGTCAGGGAACAGGGGTTTGATGTGTCGAAAGGAGAGCAATACATCTGGGAACTGACTGAATGTGTAGAGAGAAGCCAAGATCAGTAGTTGAATGTGACTCAGAAGATACGATGATTTAGTAAATGCTTACATTTAGTAAGTGAAGAAGTACAAAATGTCAGAGACCTGTACGAGCTCCACTCATTGCTTCATGTCCCAACTGTTCCTACTGTGACCTGGCTAAAGGTTAACCGTGTGGTCAGAGCATGGGTTTTGTGTCGCCTGTTAACTTATGTGATTAAGGCTGATCTTCCTAAGAGATGTTTACATAGTTTTTATAGCACGTAATAGACTTTTCCCTTTGTGTTTATTCCATTTAATTTTCCTGTCACAGATTCCCTCCCCAGCTCTCTCAAAAACTGGGAGGGGAATTGAAAAACCAGTTACTAATTGTGGAAAACGCTCGCCTGAGAGAGTTCTCAGTGCTCTTAAAGTAAATGTTATTACATTGAAAGCTATGTAAAATCTCAGGAGGTCCAGAGACGTTTTCTCTGAAACTCTCTGCTCCAGTTTCAGGCAAAAAGTCCATTAATGCTTCAAAGACAGGAGGGAGGGATGGGAGCAAGTGTGCTCCAGCCATTTGAAATGACCTCTCCGTTGGGGATTAGCGTAGCGTCTCTGGTTGTCAAAACCCTGTCTCCTTAATCAAGGTGCAACAGACCTACTTGCAGTTACGCTGACGTGTGAGGAGCTATCGCATGGCTTCCCTCAGTTATACAGCACATCAAAATATATATGAATATAGCAACTGGGTTGTTTTGAAGTCCTGCTGGTTTTAGTATTTTTATCATGTCTCTTAGCGGCACAGGCCCAGTAAACTGACAATGAATTGACACATCTGCCTTGGGACATTAGTATCCACATGGCCAAAAGCAAGTAACAGATCTGGCAACATGCATGCAAATTGTTCACTGCTTTCCTCCAGAAGGCCCTGAACTCAGCTGTTTTGTCTGACAGATGCTGGCAGGCTGCTGGTTTCACACCAGCCTCTTTCCCCAGCACTGTCTTAGTGGCATCAGGCACTCCAAGAACCAGCCCTCACCCGCCACAACCTGACCAAACTGCAGCCGTTCTCCTCTCCCTGAGACACCATGAGAAGCCTCCTCGTTCCTGCTAAGGAGGTTTGCCTTGCTGCTCGTGAGAGTTATCTATCCGATTTTCCCATGCAAAGTGCTATATTCCTGCCCTCTAGATTTAAGTATCTTGCAGTGTCATTTCCTGAAATTGAACAGAACTGTTTAAAAATGAAGTTTCTATTTTCCCGTCATAAAACCGGCCTCAGGATGGGGGTTAACTTTGCACTTGCCCAAATCTCTCTGAGGAATGTCACAATTCAGTTGTGGGAAACCAAGAAACAAGCTGTGAAGGTCCTCTCCGCATCCCACAAAAAAAATTTGAAAAATACCACAAGAGGAAAAGTATAACAGTCATCTTCTCCACAGACAGATAACCTCAACTCTGCCTTTATAAAGAGACCACAAATGATAAACTAACTTACTCCTCCATTGCAAATGCTACACCAGTGCCTGTTAGAAATAGACACTGACTGCAGTGCATATAGCTAACATCCAACAGGATAGTTGACCTAGTACTTTCATCTTATACTTTAGTCTTACGCCTTTTTGAGTATGCAAAATCAGATTTCAGCAGAAAGTTGGCTGTAGCCTTAACGATCAAGTGCTTTGTATGAATGGAGGTAAAGCTGCTCAGCGACAGCATCAAATCTCCTGCCAGGCAGTACGCAAACCTGATGCCCCTAAAGACAGCAAAAAGCCACCTCTGAGGCCATAGTTACTATATTTTACACCGACAGCAAGAGGTTTTCCCAGCAAAGACAGAGAGTTGGGTTCCCGCAACACAACCGCCTTACCCCTGCCAGAGGCTCCCCCCTGCCATGTACCATTTGGGTTTAGATAGGGGTTTTGTTCGCTAAATGCTGCTGGTTTGGGGGGTT